AGAGGTACGGGGATCGATACCCCGCATCTCCACTGCTTTTCCTAACGTTTTCTCAATTTTTCCGACCCAAAATAGCCCAATTAAACCCAGATTCTTTCTGTTGAACTAGGCCCAAAAGATCCAATTACAGCCCATTAATCGATCCTCTGTGCTAAACCCTAGAGAGAGATAAAAGAGAGAAGAAACCGATTTTTCCGACCCAAAAAAGCCCAATTAAACCCAGACTCCTTCGGTTGAATTAGGCCCAAAAGATCCAATTACAGACCATTAATCTATCCTCTCTGCTAAACCCTAGAGAGAGAACAGAGAGAAGAAACCGATGAAGAGAAAGAAATCTGATTTCTCTGGTGATTCCGAGGAACGCCCATTTGTATAACAATGGCGATTTTGGCATCCGCCGTATTGCCTTCAACTCTGAATATTAAGGTACTGCTTCAACTTAGTTGCCGCATTTTTATAATTGGAAATGATTATCTGAACACTAATTAGTTTTTCGATAGGTAAATGGAGCTTTGAACAAACCCAAAGTCAGTTTTTCTTGTTAAGGCACAACCTTTTTTTCTGTTTTCGTACTTTTTGGAAACTTGAATGAAGTGAAATCCTCGAACAGGTTAAGCAACTCAAACATCAGCCTTCTCAGCGCCATGGGCTTTTGCAATTAAATGGTTATCGTCGGGTCTCTCCAAGACGTCGCATGAAAATAACAATGGCGCAGTCTGGCGAGCCAAAAAAGATCAGGGAGCAACTGAATATCATCAAGGAGACGTTATGGGAGGCTACCCCTGAGACAGTAAAAGATTTCCCTTGGAAAAAAGCAGAGAATTTGCTGCTAGAGAGACTACTTTTTGTAGGACAGAAGGCATTGAAGTTGTCTCTTGTTACAGTTTTTGTTATTAGCTCTCTGTCAGATTTCCTATATTCGATTTCCAGGAATCAAGAATTGATGGTTCCCTTTGGTCTCATTGTTGGATGTTTGATGACTGATTTCTTGAAAGAGACATCCCAAGAAGCATTTCGCTTCCCCGAGGTTTGTTTCTCTCTTCCTATACATTCTATATCTGTGTTTGGACGTGCAGATTGTAGTTTTGATCTTCTGTTGAGCAGGAAAAGGGCTTGAAATGGCATCTCTTGGCACTCGGTGGCTTCTTTGTCGTTGTTAAGTTTGTTTCTACATTTTCTGCAATACGGACACAAGTATTTCTTTTGCATGTTGCAAATGGTGGATTGATGCAAGCTCTGTGGCTATGGAGAAGTTTGCTGGAAGAACATGAAAGTAAAGGATCTTCAGCTGCAGATGCACAAAGTTAAGTTCTTGAGGGCGATCTTGCTCGATGATGATTGCTATACATCGTCCAACAACATTTTGACCAAATTCTTTGTTTTCGTTTGACCTAAAACGTTGTTATCAGTAAGTTCTTTAGGGCGATATTGCTTGATAATCTGTAAAATAGTGAGTGTTTTAAAAGGTGCATAGACCCAATGATGAAATTCACCTAGGTACAAATTGAAATATTGTTACCATGCACTGAAATAAATGGATAGGAAATTACATATATATATATATATATATCTCTTATTGTGAATAGTAGACATCTGCTTAAGGAATTGTAACCCATTGTGGCCAACAAAAGTAGAAAAGAAACAAAAGCCTATAAGATATAATCAAAATTGTATGAGAGGGAGTATACAAACAGGTTTGGTTTCTTCCCTCAATTCAATCATGCACAAGGAATAAGAAAAGACCTGCTTCAAAACTGTACAATGCAGCGTATACATATCAAAGGGCTTCTTGTCTAATTTATCTCTGCCCCATTGAGTATAAGAATCAAAAGGAACGGTTAATTCGTGTAGAGCAAAAGCTTTCACCTTATGTCCTGCTCCCGATGTCCCATTGCCACCAACAACAGAGCCTCTATATGAATGTTTTTATCTATGTTCTCCGGCACCTGGTCCTGGCAACCGCCATCAACCTAATGACGGTGTTAACGCATAGGCTAACATTTTGTGCACATGATGACAACAGAAGAATGAACCAGTTCATTTCGTACTAAGGACTCCAATTCCTAAGTGCAATGAACAGCCCACTATTCATTTAATTTCACAAGTTGACTTCCTGCAAATTTAAAATTACAGATCCAATCAATTACTAATGGATTCCCCATGGAAGGAACCACCAAGCACCAGAACAGTCATACCTGGCTTCAGTGACTCCGGATCTTGGGAACTCTCCTGATCATCTCGGTGTGAGTTTCCAACTGTGGGCACGTCGTGAGTTATCAATGGGGACTGGCAGTAGGCTGAACGCAACTGTCTATAAATCTCTTCTGTCCTCCCCCATTGCTCATCTTGTCGATCCATCTCTATGAGAACCTGTACAAACAACACGTCACACCGGAAAAATGGTTGGGGAGTTTTCTAGATAGAGAGAGATTTCTAATGCTTACCTGTGCAGGTCTCCTCTTAAAAACAGGGGAAAACCTCTGCCTACAGTACTCATTGAACAGAAGAGTGAAAAATATTAGGGGAATGGTGAAACCGGAAGCAACTGGTGATTGTTTAATGCCAAAGACCCCAAGGGCAATAATTTGCGTCAACACTAAAGAGAAGATTGTTGTGTTGTGAACAATAGGCCAGAACTGTCCTCCACTTTCATATTTTGATACGTATACATGAAGGATCTGAAAAAAAAAATGAATATTAATAAAATGTATTATCAAAGGTCAGGTAAAAGTAAAATTCTCCTGAATCTATCTCCCACTTGACTCAATTGTCATCAACAAAGTTATGCTTCAGCTAACAGTGAATATGTAAATAGAACGCTTCCATATTATCTTCATGTACTAAAAATACATACAACATAAAACACATACCACAAACACCTCTTACCAAAAATCTGAAAATTATACATGCAGATTATATATTTGCTATTACAAAGATTAAGATGTATAAGTAATTCTATAAAACTGAGGGAGGAAATTGAAGCTTAAAATATAATTCCAGAAAGCAGCTTTTCTGGAGTTACTGACAAACATCTGGTTTTCTTTATTCTCTGAAAGCATGCATATTCACTCCTTTCCTATGGTGCCTCTTTACAAGTATGAATGCACCAGGTCCACTCAATGAAGAAACAACATTCCCCTATATGTTAAGAAACTTTGTGGGTACAAACCAAACAGTTACAAATGAAATTGACTATTATTTGACTGACAAAAGGAAAAAATAGGACAGAAAATTAATCAGACAAAAACACACCTGGTTTCGATAAACAAGGAAAGCGAGAAAGAAGTAAACTAGCACAAAGGGCAATATCAAGGGTGCCATGACAGAACAAGTGAAGCCAAGGAGTCCAAACAGAAGAAGTCGTGGAATTTCAGTATGGTGAGGGAAGGTTAGAGTGCAATTAGATGGCTCTTCCGTACTTCTTAGTATGAATTTTCTGAACACGTTGCAAAGAAGAGCAAAAAGCTGTATAACTTCACAGGACAAGCTTGCCCACCCTGATGATAAAACATAAGTCGTGAAGAAGGTAGCCTGCAGTGACTCAAGAAAAACAACTATGGTTAGTAAGTAGTAGTAAAGATTCACATTCACATGATGACACATAAAAGGGACCAGAAGCAATCTTGTCCTATGTGAATGTGGTGGACAAAAGCGATGGCATAACGTGTGCTGCCATTTTTAAGAATTTTTCAGTGAGAATTATGTCTTGCTGTGCAGGCTTGTCAAAACCATAAGTTGAATATCTGCATTTTCAAAACTCATGGAAGATTCTAGGCCAAAAATATAGTTTAGATTCAAGAAAAAGCATCTCATGCATCACTAATAGGCCAAGATAAAAACTAAATGCATATAAAAATCTGCCATGAAGTTGGTAGATGTAAGGTTTTTTAAACCAACCATTACAAATTCCAGGAAAATTACCTGGGTTGGCACTGCTTTGGCAAGTTGTGTAGGTATGTCTCTAACACTTGAGAAAACACTCAATTGCCTGATTATGGATCCAGAAAGAATATTAACAAAGAAAACATTCCAGATTGTGAAGTACAAAACTTTAATGCATGCACTCCTCTTCCTCTCACTACGTGAAACATTTCCCTCCATTGTGGAAAACAGCATCATGGTTGGTGGAACAGCATATAGAAATAATATCAGAATCACACTTGGTAGGTAACCTGTTACCAGCTGGTTCATTAACTTTCTGCACAGAAGAAAAAACCAAAATAGCTTCACAAACAAGTCAAATTTATTCCAGATCCTCTTCAACAATTTCCAGATTTCTCTCCTCTTTTATCACCTTACAATTTCCAGTGATAAACATCAAACTGCAAAGTATGATGTCTTGAAAGAAGAAGATTAAACAAAAAGAGCCCCTATAAACTATAATACTTCCATAAGCTGAATCAGTTAGGTGCCATCTGTACTAACTCCTGAATAATTATATTCTCCAGGGATTCTTTTTTTTATAATATATAACCATTGAAAAGCTAACTTTTGTAACAAGGTAATAAATAAATTATTACTCAACACAAAGCAAGTAAAGACTGGAAAAATGGAGTCATCGAAAATTTTATCCAAATCAGAAACAAAAAATCATCTAAAGAACACATATTTCACATTTACACAAGCATCACTTGTCAGAAGTAAATATGTTGCAGTCAATTAAACAAAAAACAAAGAAAGATGTGGACCTGACGGACAAGGCATATTAATATTTATCCTTCTGTCTTTATGTGCTAATACACACAAGAGCTTAGGTGAACTCAATGCAGTTAAATAACAATAATAATAGTTGACTGTAATAAGTTGTATGTGCTTATTTATATAATCTAGATTGTCTTTTCAGAAGCTTCAGTCATGGTCTGTTCTCAGTATGTGCCAAAAACTATTCCATCTTCAAAATTTAAGCTATGATGGTCATGAAATTCCAACAGTTCTAATTTCTATGTAATTTCCAAACACAAGAGAACCACTAGCAGCACTCCATTCATGGATTCTTGATCTCCTTAAGGGAGTCAATATAAATTAATCATCATATAGAAGGAGCTTAGAACAGTAGATATAGCAGTACAAACAGGGTTCACAACTATGGCACTTTCATGCATTGTGTCTGTATAAATGAGTAGAGCCTAACATGTTGTTGCAATTTCCTTATCCTAATTAATTCTATCAGGCATCAGCCATGACTGCAATGTGTAATGATAAAAACATAATTCAAAATAACAAGCTAACACAGCTTTTGCAATTGAGATAGAGTTCGCAGAATTATACTCACTCTTTTAAAATTCCTTTAAGAAATGGAAATGTATGTGATAGCTGGTCCAGTTGAGTCAAGCCTTGCACAAAGGTAACTGGGACAAGAAACATAAACATAAAGACAATAGCACCGACAAGAGTTGCTATTTTACGAAGCCAAACTTGTTTGTACGGTATGGAGAGGTTTGACCAATAAACATCATGCGGCTCTGGGGCTAGTTGTGTCACCCATAACATGGGATTTGGTGATTGAAGAACTTGCGCAGCAACAACGGCAGCATAGCGAGTCCTGAAGAAAACAAAAGCAGCTGGACGTTCCTGTATCAAAGGCCAAAATAACATAGGATATCACATGGTCATTTCCATCAAAGATTTAAAAGTTAGGGATCAATATTTGTTTTCAAACATCAACAGCCACATGAAGGCAACAGGGCATAACAAGAATAAACCACATAGAGAGAAAATCTCCATAAAGAAATCAAGAAACTGACCATGCGGTTGGGAAGGCAATAACAGTTTAAACAACAAATGTTCAGATAGCATAAAAGGCCACTACCATATCCTCATATCCTTTTAATACTTAGAATTAACAGTTACAGTAAATACTGGCATTTATGCAAACAGCAGGAATCTAGTTGCTCAAATTTGTTGATATCATTGAGCTGAAATGTCCATCCCAGCAAAGGTTTAAAATTAGATTAATAAACTATAAACATCCAAAAGAGCATGCAAAAATAAGAGCAATTCCTAGGGTGGGAAAGATCAGATCTATATCCACTAGTGTTCTTTGGTGTCAGAGGAAAAACTAGATCACGATGAAGTGAAGATGATTATAGCACATTAAAATATTCCAGAGGAGATATAAAAGCAAAACTACTTTGAAGACTGAAAACAACATCTGAAAAGCACTAACTTTTGGGCAACAAACCACTAAAAAGGAACACATAAATGATATAACATCCATACTATAACTGTGAAATCAAAATTATTAGACTCATCTTTTTCCAAAATTTCAACCTTTTCTCTTTGAGATGGTTGCAACTCATCAACGCTGGTTTTATCCTTAACACTCTCTGCTTCATTGCTAAGCATCTTAAAGGAATGTGTAGTTCCTCCACAAAGACAACATGGCATAGAAGCCTGTTTACCATGTGGCTCAACGGTTTTTAGCATTCTGTACATCTTCTCTGCATCCTTCTGCAAAGAAAGCATTTTGAGAGAATATACATAGAACTTGTCACAAGTTTAAAACAAACAGAAAGTTGTGTGTGCGTGTGTGCAGCAAAGTACAACAAGCATAGAAAAGGTGAAATACAGGTTCATTTTTTACATTACTCAACTCAGTTCAATTCTATAAATCCTTAATGAGGACAACCAATTGACAAATTGTAAAATTCAACTTCAATGCAATACACCAGCATCAGCACACTGAAAAAACTTAATGATATAAAGATTTAAAACATGGCTGCAAATCAAATCAGCAAAAATCATGATTACCTATTAGAGGTAGTATGCAACAAACATATTATCTTTTACTTCTCTATAAGCTCTCATATAATCTTATGAATTCCATTAAAGAAACCATTTTATCTGGTATATAGAACACAACAATAGAAAGGAAAAGAGAGCACACACTTTCTTTCAATTTTTTTCACCAGTACCAAGTACATCCACCTCAATCCAGATGAACTAAATTCATTCATTAAATGTCAAGAAAGTGGTGAATAACTGCACTAACAACATAACCAGCTAAGATAAAAAGGTACAAGAAGTTTATGTCACTAATACAAGTCACTCAGATAGAAGCATACCATTAATTTCTCAACTGTACCAGCGCGATATACCATCTGGTGTGACACATAGCTTGCTGGATAATAAGTTGAAAAGAACTTTTCCACTGCATCACTGTATGAATGATCTGGAGACCACGGGATGCCACGGACTAGAACTGTGAAATGACTTGGATTGGGAGGAGATCCAGTAATATGTGCTAGCCTCATTTTTGTGATACTTTTATACTCCTAGAGTAAAGCAATAATCTTTAAATAAATGCTAGAGGAAATTTATGAATGCATCAACACAAATCAAACTAAACATGAGTAAATAATGCATTTTGGGTTGTACATCCTTACAAAGTAGAGTAGAACACAAGCTGAGCAGGATATGACGTATAATGCCAGACAATGGGTCCAAAGCCTGCAAAATTTTTTAAAACAAAAAGAAAAGCAATCAATGAATAAAGGCTTTTTCTCTAATGTATTACACCAGAAAACCACTATGTTGATGTGGCATCTCAATATCTCAGCCAGGAGGAGCAATAGCCAACAAAACAAAAAACTTTAAAAATCCATATTTTTCGATACTTGAAATTAATTCTTGACTTTAGAACGTTCCCAGCAATGTCATAAAAGTGTAAATAAAAAGCAAAAGACTTGGACTTTGCCTCTTGGTTGCTCAAGCGAATATGCTAAAGCAGAATTCTACAGGAAATTCCAAAACTAAAATAGGACAGAACAAGTCTAAATTTTCTTTCAGGCCATTCATGGCTCGATATGGCAGTATCCAGATAAAATTTCATTTAAAAAAAAAAAATAGTGCAACTATCTTATCATAATAATGGGTCCAACAGATTATACCATTTTGAACCTTCTTTTACATTTCCAATTGTAAATACTTCCAGTGATTCTGCATGTATTCGCTTGTGCTGCATTTCTTGTCCATAATAATTTACTGGAAGCACTAAAAAAATGCAAATCATAGCAGCAATGCTGAATATCCGGATACTGTAAAGAACAGGGGAAGAATAGCATGCAGTTAGTAAACCTGCAAAAGTGAAAGCAGGAACTGATCCAACCATAATTGAAAGACCAAGGCAACTCAAAAAGTTTAGGACATAATTGCAAGCATAGACCTAGTGAGAAAATTAGAAGCAAAAATTTCACAAAGAAAATCGAAAGGCTTCAAAATTTTCCATCTGGAGAGACTTAATCACCTGAAAACAACTATTCTCATGAAAACTACAGCATCCACGCCACCAACAGCCAATATTTCTTCATCAGTTGCTTGCCAGGCCCTCATGATCCAGCTTGCAGAGGGCACAAATCTTTCAAGGCAGAAAGGATCACTACGCTTTACTGGTTCTGAAACAAACCTCCGCGTGAAATACACACTTACATTGCTTGGTTGTTTTCTCAGTATGGAATACAATGACAGAAGCACAACACATATAGCTATGTTGATTCCGGCAGAAGTTAAAAGTGCACCAATGTCCATCCCACTCCACTATATCCTTTTTCCAAAATTTAGAAATCCAATTACTCAAGCACTTAGCTGTGGAAGGACATCATAATATTTTCAGTTGGCTCGAAACAGAGAAATGTTTTTGATGACAACCACAATGACAACGGGGTAATGCAGAGAGCAATTTGGCTCAATTTGACACAGAACCAAGTGCTGCAAAATTGATTTGGGATTTGTCACGATTCAGAAACCACAATTTTGACTACATTCCTAATATGTCAAAACAAAAGCTTCAAAATTCAAGTAAAATGCTGATGCTAAACTAAATGCAGGCGAAAGCACCAGCAAACTTCAAAAAATAAATAAATAAAACCTAAATAACAGTTTTTTTTTAGTCTAATTTCCCCATTAGTAACCAAATTTTTAACTTTTTCAATGCCTGATGAAATTTCCATATATTTTTTCTCTTTTTCTAACGATTCTTTTCTATAGTTCCGAGACATACAAATGCAAGTATAAAAGACTAAAAAAACCAAGAACAATAAACATAAAACGGGAAATGGAAAATAAAACCAACAATTAATCCAAGAGGGAAATTAAAACAAAATTAAATCATTGCGGATAAACAACAGAAAAATATATAAGGATTAATTACAAGAAAGTACCTGTGCAAATATGAGAGCCAAACAAGCGTAAGAACTTCGAAAAGGTTCCACAACGCAAAGAGATTCTGAAGCAAAACGATTCGTATGTAAAGTAGGAAAACAAACACAGGAAAATTTTGAGGCTTGGCCCGAGCCTGTTTATTACTTATACGCCAAATGCCAGGCTTTTGCTTCAACTTCAAATAAAACCAAAATGAAGAATTTAAAAAGGAAAAAAATGGACCAATTTGCAGAGAAATAAATCAAAAATCCTAATTTAGAAATAATTCAAAACGGGTTGGAATATCTTGCAAGGAATTTATTCAAAAAAACTTCTTGCAATAATTAGATTACACGCAAATTTTTTTGTTATTATTATGAGCAACGATTCCAGAGAATGCCACGTGTTAAATATTAATTAACAATTAATGCGGAAAATAGAAATAGAACAGTGATTTTTTTTACAGCGATAGCGACGGAAGCGCCACGTGGCGGAATACAAGGGGGATAATCCCAAATGTGTGATATGATGCTGCTCAAGTAAAACCGCCCCAACTGTCGCTGTGAATCTGATACAATTTTATGTCGCTGGCGCCAGTTGCTGGGTTTTGTTTGGGTACATCGCCATCTAATGGGCTTACAATGGAGTCGAGGTCTGTGGCAAATGAGGATTGTAGTTGACTTATTAGTGTTGATTAATTTGGAAAAGATTTATCATCGTTTTAATTTTTTTAATAATGGACCATCAATTAAAATCATGCCATTAACTTTACACTAACACGTTGGATGTTTCCACTAAGATCGTGATTCATGACCAGTTCACATGTTTTTGGTATGATGTTTTACTTTAATTTATTTAACGAATTATTCAAGAAGTTTTTTTTATAAATTTAATTGTGCCTTCGAACTAGTTATTAATTTATGTTATATTGTTTTAGGTTTGGTTATATTAAATATTCAAATTTTAATATATAACAAAATAATGCATGGAATTATTTAATTTACTACTTATAGCTTCATATTAAAGCTCTCATGCTATCTTTTTTTCCTTATCCATATGTTTTTAGATTAAAACGTTTGGTGTAAGGGCCCTATGGGTTGATGCATGTGATACATGTGAGGCAATTTATGGGTTGGGCCTAAGTTAATATGTCTGAACAAAATTGGATTGGTTCGAAAAGCAATAGCCCTAGTGAGGGCCCATCGGTTTCAACACATCCTAGGTGCAATAGTGCTAGACTAGTTGTGCTGCCATAAATCATCATCTCAACTTTGCAAATCCTCTTCCTCCGATTAAAGAACATCAAAGATATGAACTCAAAAGGAAAAACTCCTATTACCCATCCCACGATATAATTTTAATATATGTTTCTCTTGACTTAAAAAATTAAGTTCAAATTCTTTTTTTTTTTAAATTATCCTTGATAATAAAGAAGATAATTTAAAATTTACCGGTTTGAATCATTAAATTAAGTAGATCCCAGAATTAGAAAAAATAGAAATAGTTTGATGGTTCAAGCTATTCAATTATCCAACTTTAATACCATTGGATTGGTAATAGCTACTTATTCTGTTGTATATATAAGTCTAAAGTAGGGGCCTATTTTTCTTGAATTTTAATCATATTTATAAGGACGCACTAATTTCTTTTGTCATAAGTATTAATCATATTATTCCTTATCCTTGGAACAAGGACAAGGGAAATGGGGCCATCATCCAGGGCCTATGGTGTATAGCAACAAGTCACGATGGGCTTTATTCGTGGGACGAAACTCTCTTTTCAAGTTTCAACTTTTTGTGTAAACCCCGAAAAGGGTTGTTGCTTCTCTACCTAGAAAAGGAAACGTGAACTACCTTATATTAAAAAATAAAAATCAAGACGATATGAATTGACAGTTTGACATAAAAATATACATAAATTAATCTAACGCTCTTGTTCATCACGATCAGATGACGATAATTTGCGAACCCAATTGCTGGTGAGCAGTTTCCTCCTGAAACTAGACATGTTTTGCTGATAACTCTTGCCAATTCCACTACAGCTCGAACGTTCGGCGAAATCCTTGATTCGTTGCATTGCAACTTGAAGTGTTTGGTGGGACATGTTCGCAAAGCAAACTCTGAACCACCCGGGTTCGGTGCAATGGCAAGATGCCCCAGGGGAGATATTCAAGCCAACCTCGCATAGGATTTTCTTCCAGAGCTCTGTTTCCGCTTCAAATATATTGGAAGATAGGAGATGCCTCATGTCAACCCAGCAAAACAAGCCTGCATTGCCTTTCAGGCATTCTATTCCTGCCTTTTTAAGGCCCGAAACCAGCATTTCCTTCCTCCTCTTAAGTCTCTTTTGGTTCTCCTTCATGTATTTGCTAGTGAATTTCTTGTTGGCAAGCATGTTGGAGAGTAGGTACTGAGTTTGGGATGACACGAGTCCGAAACTTGACATTTTGGTTGCTGAACTAATGACTGTTTCATTGTTGGAATAAATCATGCCAACACGAAACCCTGGCAAACCTAGATCCTTGGAAAGACTATAAACGATATGAATGCGGCTCCATACATCTGTGTTTTCAAGGTTTCTGTCCCTTGCGGCTTCTATAATACTTATAAACCCTGGGAAGTCAAAGACCGTTCCTGAAAAAACTTCATCGCTTATGACATGAATATTTTTGGCGATGGCAAAAGTAATGAGTTGGTTAAGCTCATCCCTAGTCATTGTTGTGCCTAGTGGATTCGAGGGATTCGTTATCAAAACCCCTTTAACTTTGAGATGGAGTTTCTGAGCTCTTTCGTATGCTTCTTCCAGTGCTAACCTGGTAATTCTGAATCCATTTGAGCTCGAGCAATGTACCGGAACAATTTCTACTCCAGTCCTCCATTTAAGATCCCTATCAAACCTGGAACTAAATAACTTGTTAGAACTAATCATGAGTCTAGAATGCAGTGCATACCTAAGACTAGGAAGTAGGAACTTTTAAACTTACCCCGGATAGTACGGTGTGGGAAGAAGGAGAGCTTCACCACGATTGGCCAGGCAAAAGATTAAAGTCTCATTAGCTGAAGTTGCACCAGCAGCAAGCACCAGGTTTTTTGGATCAAATTTAACCTTGTTTCCTCTAATTTTTGCCATGTACTCGACCAGTTCCTGTATATACAAGTGTTCAGATATATGTTTACGGTCAGGTTGAAAGACAAACACTGCAAATTATATACCATGCACAGATGTAGGTGTACTTTTTTGGTTAGCAAAGATTAATTATAGGATTAGTTACATTTTTGAAAGCAGGTAATCCGTGATAGTCCTGGAAGAGAGCTAGTTCCCTGAATACAGATTCTCCATCCTTCTTCAGTCCCATGGCGTCCGGGTTTTTTCTTAGCCATGATTCCACAAGGTCGAAAGAAAGCTGCGATAAAATACATTACCATTAGATACCATGGATTACCATTTTTGAAATAATATGCCCGAAAAAAGAACTAATACTATTTGATTATGAAAGTGCAATTTCCATTTTGACCCTTTTTTTTTTCATTTTTTACAAAACCTCTAAGTTTTTTTTTTTTTAGGTAAAAAACCTCTAAGTTTGTCACGTGGGTTATCACATGAAAAAATAATGCCTAAGAAATTAAATTGATTGGAATTAATTGTCCCAAATTAAAATATATGAATAAGCAAGGTTGTCAGCTATCCCAAAGTGATGAAAAGGAAGTATCAATTGCATCAAAAAGTAAAACTTTATGTATCTTTTAGGTTATATATAGATAGGTAGCTCACCTGATTCTCTGCAAGCCCCATCTGAATGATTCCTGTTGGATTAACAACTTCATCGAACGGACTTTTCTCATAGACTTGCAACCCAAGGAAGTAGGAAGAATCTTGTCCATGGGAATTGCTGCTAGCCATGGTAGACAACATTTTTACACCGGCCTAGCTTGCTAGATTTTGTTTTAGCTAAATAGTATTGCTTTTGGGTGACAAAACCTTTTGAGAGAAAAGCAAAAGGAGAGGAATAGAAAGGTGGGTTTTTTTGAGCTTTGAGGTTTTGGGAAAGAAAGGGAATGATATGGCAATTTATAGGAGCTAGACACCGAGCCGACAATATGAATATTTTGACGGTGCTGATTCTTTTGACCGGAGATATTCAGTGATGCTATGATGTTGGCTGGTTTGGTGTTTTTTTCATAATCTTTATTTAATTTCTTTTTTCTAATTAATTTTGCTGCGTTTGCCTTAGTCAATTTATAATTAATCCAATCATATATAACAAAGTCCATTGACCAGAGCCAAATTTCGTTCCTCTTTCTTTAAAATATAGATTAAAAGAACCTTAATTCATATGCAAAACTGAAGGAAAACTTTTCAATTCATACAATAAACAGTAATTAACCCTCAGTTTTCTCCAAATTTGACATAATGTAAAGGAGCTAATCATTACATTTTTATACGGAATTTGACAATTAATTATTTCATGTGCAACCACTAATAAAGATGAACAGGAAGGAAAGTTAGGAAAAAGAAAAGCCCTTAATTCCCTGCCTAACAGAGAGACGACCCATTCCTCCCTCGTAATTAAAATTCCCAGTATTTGGAAATATTTAGAGCTGCATCTATCTGATGATTTCAGCCCTTTCGTTTAGTGTTACATTCCACTTAATTATTGGTTTTAAACGTAAAAAAGTACAGAAAAATT